CCATGGAGTATTCAATCGTCACTGTCATGTTCTGGGGAATTCAAAGATCATATCTATTACGTGTTAATACTTCAGGATATACTATATCTCATTTATTAAGAATAATGATAATAAAGCTTCAACGTGTCTGTCAAAGCAGAGACCGCAGACTCACCGAGTTCGCTTTAGAAAGCGGGCCGACTTCAAGAACAGCCACAGTGTTGATCACCTCGACTTTGCCATCTGTTATGAAATAGAAGAAAACTACACCGATGTATCCTGAGTTTCTGATGACATACATTATTTCATAGAAATGCAACAAAGCCACAATGTATATATAGCAAGCAATGAGAAGCGTCAATATCTGTGGCAGTATAAAGACCAAAACGCAGAAATTCGATTATCAAGAAACGTAACATCCACCTCTCGTAGGAGGACTGCTCTCCTTCTTATAACCCCGCGGAACTGCCTTCCCTGTTCTCCACTTTTCCCAGTCTGCCACGGTAGAAGTGTCATTCATGGAAAAGAAGAGCTGCAAATTTTCATGGACACCGTGCAGTACGGTGTGCATGAGCCTAGGGGGCGCGGTTGTTACTGCAATGGTAAGAGTCGTTCAATTATTGAATAAGTTCTTATAAGTCGTTGGAAACCTAGTTTGAAGAGGGTTTGCGAAACGTCTATTAAAGAAGTACTAAAATTGGCACAACCCAATTAAGTTTGCTTAAAGACACTTGCTTAATAAACACTGGCAGGTTATCAGCACAGGTGGCCTGCAAGTTGCAAGCAAGAGTTGGGAGCATTTACGAATTAAGTGATATATATAACAACTACACATACAATTTCCAATTCTAACTATAATCACATATGAACGGATGTAAAAAGAGAAAACATCATTCATCAAACAGTTCGATGTCTAAAGCAGAGTACATTCAAAATGTTAGTAATGTGAAACTTCAGTGATACCTGAACAACCTGATCCATTAACGAATCCATCTCCTCTATATCCAGTGTTGCAGATACAAGTCGCATCAAGGGCAGGAGGAGGATTATCCGTACAGGTGGCCTGGGCGTCACACGGATTAGCCAGGCAGGTATTTATGTCTGAATGACGACACGAAAAAATGAATATTAACATTTATAATTCAGACGTCAGGATCAGTCAGAAGATGGCTAAAAAGTAAAGGTTCAATATAATAACATAGGTGTACGGAAAACACCTGAACACCTGAATGTTGTTTACATAAACGGAATACCTGAACATCCAGTTCCACTGACGAGACCATCTCCTGTATATCCAGTGTTGCAGATACAAGTCGCACCAAGGGCAGGAGGAGGATTATCCGTACAGGTGGCCTGGGCGTCACACGGATTAGCCAGGCAGGCGTCTGTGTCTATAGATAGTATCATCAAATGGTCATACAAAGCCCTAACATCGACAAATATTAGAACCTTATCAGCCAAATCACTTGAACGCTCAATTCGCCAAGAAGTCTGCGTTGTCATGCTATAATGAAACAAAATACCTGAACATCCAGTTCCACTGACGAGACCATCTCCTGTATATCCAGTGTTGCAGGTACAAGTCGCATCAAGGGCAGGAGGAGGATTATCCGTACAGGTGGCCTGGGCGTCACATGGATTAGCTAGGCAGGCGTCTATGTCTATAGATGGTAACATTAAATCTGGGGTTAGAACGTGTTTAAGTGGTACAGACATCTGCAAATACCCAACAACCTACTTGCACAAAATCTCTCTAAAAGTTTTTGGTATCATACACGGCTCTTGGAAAGTCAAATACCTGAACATCCAGCTCCAACAACAAGCCCATCTCCTGTGTATCCAGTGTTACAGGTACAAGTCGCATCAAGGGCAGGAGGAGGATTATCCGTACAGGTGGCCTGGGCGTCACATGGATTAGCCAGACAGGCGTCTGTGTCTATAGATAGTAACATAAAAGGTGACATTAGAAACGTATGTAAGTGTTATCAAAAATATTATGAATACTCAACATTAGCACAAAATTTATATGCACAAATCTGCCTAAATGTGTACATGTGTAATACATGGCTTTTAGAAAGTCTGATACCTGAACATCCAGTTCCACTGACGAGACCATCTCCCGTATATCCAGTGTTGCAGGTACAAGTCGCATCAAGGGCAGGAGGAGGATTATCCGTACAGGTGGCCTGGGCGTCACACGGATTAGCCAGACAGGCGTCTGTGTCTATAGATAGAAACATAAAAGGTGACATTAGAAACGTATGTAAGTGTTACCAAAAATATTATGAATGCTCAACATTGGCACAAAATCTATATGCACAAATCTGCCTAAATGTGTACATGTGTAATACATGGCTTTAAGAACAGTCTGATACCTGAACATCCAGTTCCACTGACGAGACCATCTCCTGTATATCCAGTGTTGCAGGTACAAGTCGCATCAAGGGCAGGAGGAGGATTATCCGTACAGGTGGCCTGGGCGTCACATGGATTAGCTAGGCAGGCGTCTGTGTCTATAGAGGGTAACATTAAATTTGGGGTTAGAAACGTGTTTAAGTGTTACAAACATCTGCAAATGCCCAACAACCTACTTGCACAAAATCTCTCTAAAAGCTTTTGGTATCATACACGGCTCTTGGAAAGTCAAATACCTGAACATCCAGCTCCAACAACAAGTCCATCTCCTGTATATCCAGTGTTGCAGGCACAAGTCGCATCAAGGGCAGGAGGAGGATTATCCGTACAGGTGGCCTGGGCGTCACATGGATTAGCCAGGCAGGCGTCTGTGTCTATAGATAGTATAATCAAATGGTCATACAAAGCCCTAACATCGACAAATATTAGAACTTTATCAGCCAAAACACTTGAACGCTCAGTTCGCCAAGAAGGCTGCGCTGCCATGCTATAATGAAACAAAATACCTGAACATCCAGTTCCACTAGCGAGACCATCTCCAGTATATCCAGTGTTGCAGGTACAAGTCGCATCAAGGGCAGGAGGAGGATTATCCGTACAGGTGGCCTGGGCGTCACACTGATCATGCAAACAGACGTCCGTGTCTGAAAATGATATCATTAAAATCAATCGTACTTTCCAAATGGGAAAAACCCAGTGGGCCATAAACACGTTACCGATTAAAAAATAACCCAAAAACTGGTATCCGGGCGCACACTAGGTGGCGGATTTGATTAACCGTTTACTCTTTCCTCTTTGAAATGCCTCTTATATATCCAATTAGCGAATGCTAACCTCTCAACTGCCATGTCCGACTCTCTGTCATCAGAGGAAACAGAATAGATATACCCCCCCCCCATCGGTAGCATACGCCTGCATTGATTAGGATCAACCATTCACTTCGCTATACAAAAGACCCTTAATGAATAATAGATTAAGCTGATGACGCAGGAATGGGAGCTATGCTACAGGTGATTCCTCATACACATAGATATGCATCGAACATCAAGATAACGACAGTCTTCACCGTCCATAAGCCAAACAGTGCGATATAAACAGACATTTCATGTGCTCCTGTCATGAATGTACGAAATAGAAGTTGATGTTTAAGTGGAAGCAGACTTAATAATCTGACAACAGGAAGTCTACTAGTATTTCCTGTCCTCAATGTCCAGCTATATGGATGTCTGTTGCCTATTGCCGAAGGGAAATCCTCGAGAAATTAGAAACATGGCATAGACCAGGCATAAGATCTTCGATTTCTTGTTTTCAAATGTAACATGGCCCGACGGTTGAACAACTAGAATGTCGAAAGTGAGAATAGATTGATTTGTATTACCTGTTTCGCAGATGAATTTAAATGTGCCAGAGCAGCTGTAGTCCTTCCATTGGCCTCCCAACAAAATACGAACGCAATCCGCTTGAGAGCCGGGACCGTCATTTGGCTCACCGGTTGCCCATTTTCGAAAGGTACCTAGTGTACTTCCGTCATTCCAGACAAAATTGTTTTCCTGTTGAAAGTCTGTTAAACCAATCCACGCATCTGTTGCTGATCCACTCATCAGACTGACTAAGAAGTCATTTGTGGCTTGATCTTTAGAGAACGCCAGATGAGCTCCAATACTATTACAGGCGGCCTTAGCCTCTGTGTAAGTATTAGGACTGGCAGATAATCGGAAACAGTGGCCATTGTGACTTGCCCAATTACACATCCCTGAAAAGAACATACATATTATGAATTAACATATACATATACATATCACAATGACTTCTTCAGATAAAAGTCAACAATGAAAGATATTTCAAACTGGTTTATTTTCATTTACTAAACTTCCAGTTGTCGAGGGAAACATTGCAATTCATACTCGTACACTGCTACCCGTGTTATGTACATGTGCTCTCACTAAAACCCCTTTCCACTAGATGGCGATCACTGAGCGAGGAGGTTAACCTCCTTGCACTGAGCGACCAAAACTGCATTTGTGTGACTATTGATTCCATCATTGGAATATTATGCACAACGCAAAAGTATACAGCAAAACACATGAAACTTTACAAAAATTTCTTTGTCTATGAAATTCGTCCAGCCATCTATCAAATATTTGGTCGCAGCTGCAGCCTCTAAATTCAGAGTGTATCAAAGATTATCAAATCATACTGTAGTGTACTTACCACTCGCGTCTGTTAGAACTACGAAAACACATAGCGTTGTAAGGGCGACACTGTATCCAAATGATCTGACAGACATGTTGGGTCGTAACAACGCGGATTTGCTGTTATTATTGGCAACAAGTGGTGTGTTCATCTTCTCCCCATAAACACAACCGGGCGTCGAATGCTGCTCTCCGATCTTCAGCTTCAGTTAACACATATCTGGTAAAATCATACAGATACTGTACAATATTATTATGTTGTTGGACCAGAACTGTCCCCGCGATGACAGTCAAGAAACATATATTTTTCACAAATGGCAGCACCAATGCTGACCACGCCCTAGTGACGCAATATTGATACGTAGGGCCGTAGTGACCATGGCAACCCTCCAAGCCAATTGTTTTCGACGCCAATTTTTTTCGGAGGGCAAATGTTTTCGAGGGCAAATGTTTTCGAGGCCACGGCACAAACATAATATACAACGTATACGTAACTGCATGCATCTCCGTATGTCATGAATGATAAATGAAGCATTCTCAAGCAGAAGTAAACTCAGCTCCATGGTATCTTTAATGTTTCTGCACTGTACCATGAACGCATGGACGTGTTGTCGCTGCCTGGATCTAAAAAAAAGGAGCCATTAGGCTAGATGCGTTAATCATTGTATTTTCTTTTTCATACATGTTGTTTGTATTTGCAATTAGCCCTCGGGCATGCATTTGCAATAAACTTTCATAATCAATGTTCCAAGGTAGACTAGTCTTACGCACTGTCGACACTTATAAACAACAAACCATCGTTCGGGGAAAAGCTGGTGTCGCACATTCCCTTTGAATTTGCTTCTCTCAGCTTCCTCAGCTATCAAGCCTCATACGAAGACAATACAGAAACGTTGTTCCTAGGCCTGGCGTGATATAGACAATTAGAAACCAGTGGTACACTCTGTTCAACTATCAAGCATATACTAGTATCTGATATTGTGTTCAGTTGTGTAATTTTAGTTGACCCAAGAATTCTGCACTAGAACACTATCATGTCCCAAGAGTGACGTCTGCATGTGATACCCCCCATTCCACTTGATTAGATTGCCAAGAGATTGCCAAGGTCGCCATGTTTGGGATATAAATTACTGTTGAGGCCGTTGTGCGCTCACGTCGCTCTCTCTTCGCTCATTGTTGGTTCACCGTCCTCACGGCGACGGTATGAACCGGTTCAAATCGGAGAATGCGCTGTCATAGTGAGATGGGGCCTTAAACAAGCCAGGTGTTGCCGGTGTATCTTGCAGAAGTGACGGACAGATAGCCTAGTCTGGATTGTGCTAAGGTTATGGCTACGGTAGTGAAACCTGAAGTCAACATACCAGTACCTCGAAGGCTATAAATCGGCATAACGGTATGTGTGCACGGTTTAATTCGGTTACATCTATATTGCCTATATTGTCTGAAAAAATCTTTTATGAGTATACATGTATTTGTCTAATATATCAGTATCCATTCTTGGCTGATATTCATATTTGCGTTGACTGGTATTTCATGCCAACAGAGTAACATTTCCGATACTATGTGCTACATATTACAGTTTCACGTTGTAGTTGTACGGATATTGATGTATACATGCAGTGTGAGGTAAGTCGCCTTTGAGAGGGCAGGCAACGACTAAATCGTATAAAACCGTGCGTTATACATGCAACAACTCCCAACACAGTGGGATGATTCTTCTTCACGTTGAAATGTATATAAACTTTTAGATGTCTATTCTCCAGGAGACAGCCTCCTGCCTCAAAACCCGTGTCTATCTGGATGCGCGAACTTTCCTGGTTAAAGAACCACGAGCCTCCGTTGGTTTACGCAGCTCCATCCAGCGACGATTCTGTGATAATGCAGTTATCTGAGCTCAATTCCAAGATGTCGTTCCTGGACAGAGTGTGATCTTAACCCTTCCAGTTTGGATGCAGCGGAGAAGCTCTTCCGACAAGGGTTCAACCTGTACAGTCGTTTTCTTTGGCATGTGTCTATCTCCCAGTTCTCCACCCTATAAAGATTCAAATAAACGTAATACACCATTGAGTACAATAAACGTTTGATGGTATCACCTTAATGATGATTTTCCTTAATATTCAAAGGCACGAAAAATATGCACCATAATTTAAATCTATTCTTTCATTACTCACGGTGCAATCATGGTGGTTTGATGAGCTTTCCTTCTTCTGTGTCCTTCCAGCAAAAATGATCTCACAGGCGGCGACAACGACTGCCAGCAGAATGCCCGCCCCGAGCACCATGAACACGCCGGCAAACACGTCCAGGCCGATGTCTCCACGTTTGACCTCAGGGTCGGGGCCGAAGAGGGGACATCCGTCCTTAGGCCACCACTTGGCCTTCAGCAGGTCCAGTGTTCCCGTTTCCTGCATCTTCAGGATCCTGTGTAATACGTTAAACAGTTTGGATTTGATGAAAAATGAAAGAAAACGATGATTAGCTTAAAGCAAAAGCGCTCTGATTTTCTGTCCTTTTCATGGCGAGAAGCGTCAGACTCGACAAGAAAGATTTCACACCCCCGTTAAGTATCTATAGTTCAACCTTTTGTTTTATTCATTAATGTGAATTTCTCGCTGGTTCTGCACACTGTATTTCATTGACACTTGCTCCTAGCCTATGGGAAACTATTTTGAAATCCAATTCGACCTTCCCATCAGTCTTAGCCTATGTACCATCCGGATTTTGCTCCGCTACGCTAGAAAAAAAATCTAGCACAGCGGAGCAAAATCCGGATGGTACCCAGGATATGTCAGTCTGCGGTTACACCATTTCCTTCTGACGTCTTGTGATTCTACTGTATTGAAATAACTACGGACACACAGGTTAACAAACAGATGAATACCTGAAGACAAAATCTCCGTACACGGAAGTGATAAAGTTATAGTTTACGCCTTCTACACTATTACTATCATAACACTGGCTACTTCGGATGGCGACTCACCCAAGGGTCAATGCCTCTGCTAGAGGGCTGCCTTTCTTGGTGGGAATGCCATACCCTCTATGGAGGAATGGGACTCCAACCATCATCAGTTTACACTCAGGATCGGTGATGACGTCATAGGCCAGAGTCGTGTCGTCAGCCATGTAGACGTAACTTCCTGTAATAATAATATCATCCATGATAAGGCTTTGCGTAGCACTAATGTACATATATTATTGTATAAATCCGAGTCGCTACTCATTTTGGATTTAAAACCTTGAAGCATGTTTCAAATTGTTCTTTTTATAATGGGTGAATAGATAAAATTTTGTTCAATTCGTTTTTCTCGTGGAAGCCGTTCGAAGTTGTGAGATGGGCTTGGGTGCATTGAGTCGCTAGCTATTTCTGTGCATCGTTCTTGCCATCTGTCACAGTAGTCCTTCAAAATTCAGTCATCTGCCTTGGAAACAGCATTAACCTTCTTCCTACTGCCTAACCTGTTAACCAGTACCGATTTGGTGCCAAACAACTACCTTACCATGCTGAAGGTTAAGAACCATACCGTTGCGAGCTCTGCTCATGCCTTCCACATAGTTCCTGACGCCATTCTCTCGGTTGCTGATCATGGCATACCACATCCGCTCAAAAACCGTGCCGCTTCCTGGACAGGAAGAAGTTGTCAGTTTATATTGGATAAGTGATGATTTGTGGCTAATATAGGTCAAATCAACGTGATGGAGTCATCAGTCACAAACAGACTCAACAGTTTCATGATGAAATCTAGAGATGATGGTCCGCGATGCGCACTTGGAACCATGAACTCGCTACTTATGATCAAATATGATCATATGAAATCAAAGCCTCCTGTTTCTTAGATACCTATATACCTTCAGGCTCCACTGCACGTGACTCGAAAAACTTGTAGTACCCTCCCCCTCGCACCAGTCCATAGGGGATGTCGGTCTGTGACGCCAGGTCCTCCAGGGAGTTGATGGAGGAAGACATGCGATTCACCTGTGGTAAAGTTTCAAACCAAACCCGGTTACTGAGATATTATCGATCGTAAATTGAATTAGAAAAGGAAAGAGGAGATTTGGGGGAGATTGGCCAAAAGGTGAAGTTGGCAGGCTAAGAGGGAATGACTCCACCCGCACTCTCCACCAGCGCAGTTAATGGGGGTATAAACACTTAGAAGTTCTCAGCCTGCAAAGTAAATGCTAGGCCCCATGGATGTACGTGAGACCATCCCTTTGGTTGTACCAAGAAATTCACAGAAACTCTAAATATTTCCCGGAGATTTGAAATCTCTGAGTTCTTGACATGGTAATTTTGCCTCACAGGAG